TCTGTCCACATTAGAGATATTTAAGAAAAAATAATATAAGCCCTTTTAATAAGAACAGTATAAGCCAAAACCATAATTTTTATAAATTTAGTTTGCCTGGAACAAACACACATACAGACAGTATGTTTATTCTGATATCACGTAAAAACTACTGCACCAAATTAGATGCGATTTTCATATATAGTTATATTTCTGAAAATCTAACTTAAAATCTTGTACATATTTTATTTTGAAACGTCATCGGAAAGTGGTATATTTAATTAGTTTTCATACAGTTAAAATTCACGTGTACCTGGTAGCGGGTGAAAAGCTAATTTTTAATGTAAAAAAAATTGTCCTCTATTTTTTTAATAATTTTATGATTTTTAATTTGGTTAACATAACATATATACATATATTTAAAACATTAAAGAACCTAAGTTGAATTTCATCGAACTATCTACTATTTTTTATTATATATTCTTAAAATACATATATCATTTTCAAAATATATGCAACTAAATCGTTTGCCTAACGGTAGCAGTTCTTCAGTAAACAGCGCCATAAAGTATACTGAAAAAAAACAACTTTTTAACATTAACAGCCGGAGTATTATAATTAAATTGTAAGTTTGCCGTTTTCCCTACCGAACCCTAGCGTTTCCTACGAGTACTTACACGTACAGATGGGCAAAGCACCGGGTTTAAACCCGGTGCTTTGGTAAAAACCCAATAAACACCCATAAACTCCCATAATCACCCAAAAAAATAGGTTTTTACGTATTTTTTTGAAAATATGTAAGTAATACCAATAAATTATTTTTATAAATTGTATTGATCAATTCTACAATATTAAATAAAACGTTAACTAATAATATTTCAGGAAATTTTAAAAATCTATATATAATAAAATGAAAGTAATTAATTTTCAGTGTTTTCATGTTGCAGTTGATCAACATGTTGGCCTTTTGCTTCCCGTAGATACTTTAAAATTTCTTCATAACACCTCGTTCGCACACATGGCCGTATATATTTAAATTCTTGAGCCACTAACAGTCCGAAATACTCATTTCTTTTATCCTCTTCTCCATAAATTAAGCATTTAGAACAGTTTGTTTCTTCTTTCAGTAAATTTTCTTTTACTTTATCCTCGTTTTTTTTCTTTGTTGCGACGACGCTGGGTAAATCATCTGGACACTGGGTCTCACTATCGCCAAATATATTTGGAGATCGGCTTCGGCTACGGCTTGGCAGACATTTTTTCTTTCTACAATTTTAAATTAAATTTATTAGAATAAATGCTTCGAACACACGCGATCTAAGTACCTTTTGTGTTTATTATACCTTACCTACCTAGGTATAAAAAGAGTACTTACGTAGATTTTCTTTTATTAACTGTTTTATACGAAGATCTTGATCTCTCAAATTAGCATCCATTTTACTTCCAGTGATTATCAACTAAATTAATAATCCACAAAGTATTAAATAACGTTTTTATGAAATATTTAGCACAAAAACAATACCCTTTAAATATCGATCGTCAGTAACTGTGGCTGACTTACCTATATTCTAGCAAGCAGGACTGCCAGATGTGAAGGGGAAATCCCCAATAAATTGTTGCATGTGACTGATGATGTGAGCATGTTCGTTTCATAATAAAAATGTTGCCAGGTAACCAAAAAGTCGTATGTTTTTGTGCGAATTACGATCATAATCTTTACGATCGTACATTAAAAAATAGACAAATAATAGTATGAGTACGATTTAAATCGTATATCTGTCAACCCTGCTAGCAAGACAGCGACAAAATCACGTTGCATAACAATGTAGCCCAAGCTTATATCTTATGAAATATACGGAAGAGATACGGACTTAGAAAAAACAGAAATGTTGTTCTTTGTGGAAGTCATTGATGAAATTCTATGTATTTTAGCCCGCAAACTTTCTTCAAACAAAAACAGCGCCATCTAGTATCGAGTTCTGTAATTATCTCTTTGTTTATGGATTTGAAGTAAGACCGCCACGCATGCAATACATTATGACTGGGGATTCCCCTATTCGTCGACGCTGAATATGAGGCGACGACAATCACTGTCAAACGTGTTCACTATTACTCTGACTCTGGTAACGTGACTTCCTGGTAACGTGTTAGGTAGGAAAAGCAGTAAAAAAGTGCATATTAAGGGAGCAGATTTGAAATAATATTTATACTTAACAAGAAATAATTAAAGGTAAGTGGATTTTTGAATGATACAATTATATCATGATCACTTAACAATTTTAACTTAAAATTAGATGTATTATTACAAGCTTTTATTTAGCTTGCGTTATGTAAATAAAAGTATGTAGGTATGTTCGTATGTTGATGCAATTATCCTCAATCCTCAACCGACTGGGATAAAATTTTCCATACACGTTTATTTTGGATGATAGTGCATAGTTAGCTGAGAGTCGTCATTGGATAATAATGGTGGATAGCCTAAGATGTGTACTAGATATTTTTTTAACATAATATGCGTAAGTACCTAATCGAATTAAAGAAGTTGCTGAGAAAAATACAGAACAATACGATAATAAACTAGCGTCTGCGTTTAATCCTCCGAGGAGATGTAATTTTACAAAGGTTTTTTGTATTTATTTTATTATTTTTTTAATAAATTTATTGTAAATAACAAGAAATAATCATTGTAAAAAAATAGGCACTCTATTGTTGAATTTTCGTCAGACCAACTAATCATCGTTCATTTTTTTAGGTTCAATGGGGAGACCTAAAGATTTACGCATATGGGAGCACTACCGTACTTTACCAAACAAGTCTGTTTCTTGCAAGCTTTGTAATAAGGTCTACAAATTCAGTAATGCTGCCAAAATGCTTCAACATCTTATCACTTGTCCAAAATCTCCAGAAACATTAAAAGACTCTATGAAACTTATAAAAGATAGCTCGTCCAAAACCAAAATGTCTGGACTGTCAGAGATAGAGACAAATGATTCTTTTATAAGCCCCTCGTCGTCTGCTAACACTACAATAAATGCTGAGTTTCAAGACACCGATGATCATATAAAAACAGAATTAGCGAGAGCTATATTTGTAACAGGGACGCCATTATCGATGGTGCAACATCCTTTATGGATACAATTTTTCGAAAAATTGCAACCAAAATTTAAAATACCTTCACGTAAAGCTTTAGCGACAAAATACTTAGATAAAATATATAGAGAAATGCGTTTTGAGTTAAATGAGGAACTAAATGCTTGTAGTTACTTACACCTTCAGTGCGATGGCTGGTCTAATTTAAGAAATGAAGGAATAATAAACTTTCTTATATCAAAACCTCAACCTGCATACGTTAAAAGTTTGAATACAGAAAGTAATCCTCACACTAGTGAATACCTTAGCCAAGAAGTTGAAAAAGTAATGAAAGTGTATGGAGCAAATAAGTTTCTTGTACTTATTGGCGATAACGCTAGAAATATACAAAAGGCATTCGAATTAACAAAACTCAAATATCCACATGTTGTTCCTCTCGGTTGCTGTGCACATATCCTTAACTTGTTGTGCCAAGATATTGTAAAGATACAAGAAGTAACTGTGTTTATTATGCAAGCCATAAATATAATAAAAACTGTTAAAAGGAGTCAACGATTAAGTTCCTTGTTGATAAAATCAAGGCAGGGTGAAGATTCTACACAAACACTAAAATTGCCTTGTGCTACAAGATGGGGAAGTCATGTTACTTCGTTAAAAAGTTTGAAAGCAAATAAGATAGCTTTGCAAATATTAACAGTTAGAGAAGATGTGGTAATTTCAAGAGATATTAAATATTTAATTCTAAGTGATGATTTCTGGACGAAGACAGGGGAATGTATAAGTATTTTGGAACCAGTCACTGAAAGCATATTTTACTTAGAGAGCGACCAGAATCGTTTGCATCGCACATACATTACATTTAGAGATGTACAAGCTAAGATACGTTTTGCATTAAATGAGATTTCGACATTGAGCGAAGAAAGCAAACAGCAGATTCTAACATCAGTATCTTCAAGATGCAATATGGCAATGAGGCCAATACATTTTGCAGCATATATTCTAGACCCCAGGACTCTAGGAGTATTACTCAAGAGGAAGAACTTAAGGGTATGGAGTTTATCTACAATTTAAGCCAACACTTAAGTTTGTCAAATGTAATGGCAGATTTGGCGTGTTATAAAGCTAAAGAAAACTTTTGGGCCAGAGGATTTGTATGGAGCTCATTAGATAGCATTGAGCCCCTAATATGGTGGAAAGGTATTTGTGGTTCCACTGAGTTAAGCAAAGTAGCGATTCGTATTCTATCAGCTCCCTGTACTTCGGCAGCCACTGAGCGTTCCTTTAGTATCCAAGGCTACATACATAATAACAAAAGAAATCGACTTACAACTGAAAGAACTGAAAAAATTTCATTCATTTGTTATAACTGGAATCTTAAACATAAAGCTGAATGCGAGGACATTCAGTTTAATGAAGAAAATACCTTAGAAGCTTTCATTGAGCAAGTAAATGAACATAACAGTTTAGACGAAATAGAGCCTATCGAACCTATACAATTCATCGCTTGTAATAACTCTGAATCTGACAGTGATTGACTGTAGTTTTACATTTTACTTTCATCTCTTTCTTAATAAACTCAAAATCAAATTAAAAGTTTTTTATTCTGTAGGCTGCATAATAATATTGTCTATGTCCAGTATAGTGGACGTCTTGCGGCTGAGATGACGATGATGAAGTACAAAATCATAAACACCCAAAAATTTGGGTGTTTATGGGGTTTAAACCCAATAAACCCAAAACACCCGGTTTTTACCCACCAGACTTTAAACCCACCCAGGTGGATTGCCCATCTCTACTTACACGGTCTGCAATTAATGCTAAGCTGTAAATGGTTTATGAGTTGTGCTGTACACTTGCGGGTTTTTATCTGTTTCCCGTATAATACATCCAATTAAGCTATGCACTCTAGTGTGAAATATTGTTAAACAACTAATTAGCCATTTAATTTGAACGTAAAATAAATATATTCCGTTCATTCTCACGTTATTGTTCGATTTCCTTGTAATTTCGTCGCTGTGTACCCGAGTTAGTAAGTCGGTAACATTTCTTACTAACACAGCTGTTAAAAATCTATCGAAATCATCACAGTATAATTTAAATCTGTATCGCGAACTAATTTGATCTCTACGCCGATATGTTTAAAGCGTATAATTGGTTTCTTTGGCGATGTTTTTTCTAATAACAACCTCGTCGCTCGTCGTACGTGATGCATCGAGTTACTGCAACAAAAGCGATTGATTCGTCCTCGGGATCAAATGGGGCGAATTTCGGCTGCACGAGGGGTGTGCGGGACGGGGCGCGGGGTGCGGCAACAATGCGGCCGGGGTATCGATCCGCCCCCGCCCGACGTCGTCTGCCCGACGCACAGCCTACCATACCGACTCCTAGCGGTCTATGCAAACCTAATACTTTGCTTTCGGAACATAACCGAGGTAGGTTTTTTATAATACCACCAACGTTTTACCAAATAATTTATTTATACCAGAAACCTCTAAGTGACTTCGAAAAGTTCTCAATTCATTTGATTTTTGTACCTATTACTTTCTCGGTTATATTTTCAATTTTGAACCGATTTCCACAATTCTTTTTGTAATCGAAAGTATTGATAGAGATAGAGACCTCCGTATTAGTATCATATTAATTTTGTAACGGTTGAAGCTACAGCATTGTTAGCGGACTAAAAAACTATAAACTATTAACTTGACACGCGATTTCGCGTTCGAAATTTGAATATACATACATACATATATACACGATTCGGATTGAAAAATAAACTTTTGATTCAAAGTTTATTCTTCAAATGATAAACGATTCAGACGGCCAAAAGAAAAGAATGAGCACAACGGAAAAGGTGTTAATGACTGGGTGTTTATTTTATTTCTTCTGGTTGCTAATTTAACTAAGTAGTTACTGTTTTCGTGTGAAAAGCTCACAGTAAAACTTTCACTCTCTGATATTTCTATAGTAGTTCAGTATATTCGACGACCTTGGAGGTGTAGCAGTTTAAAAGACTGTCTCGCCTTTCAATAGTTGTAGAGTCGATTTTTGAACAATACAAATATTTATTATATTCATAAGTATCTCTATTTGTGTAGTTGTTATGTATTTATGATAATATGTATCTATACTAATATTAGAAGGAGGAAAGATTTGATGTTTATTTTGTAATGAATAAACTCAAAAAGTACTTAACCGATTTTAAAACTTCTTTTTCAATAGAAAACTAAATAATCAGTGAGTAACATAGGCTATGTATTATTTTACATTCTGTCTACTCGTGCGAAGCTGGGCCGGATCGTTACTTTACAACAAAAGAAGTATTTCTTTGGATTGTTTAGTATCCATACTACAGTCTCTGCTCTTAATAATTAAAGATTTGTTTAAAAAAATACAACCTCAATTGTAGCAAACCCAATTATTTTGATTTAATAATTAAACTACGGAACCGCTTTTAATAAAATTAGTATGGGATCAATCTGTAAGTAGGTATATTCTTTCAGATAAAAAAAAAAATAATTCAAATTCCTTTTGACTTCTTGAGTTAGGAGGTAACAAATATTACATAAAGATACATCCAAACTGGAACTGCCTTCTAAAGTCGTTTGTAAAAGGAATATTTTAAACTCTAAATATTCTTTGATAGTGGTCTATATTTATTTATTTGTGACGCCAAATAACATAAGCTACTTGTCTTTGGAACCATCGCATTTAGTCAAGGATAAATTCATAGTACAAATAATAGGCTAAGAATAGGCAGGAATATCAACAGCATCCTGAGCATGTTTTTAAATAAATTAGATAGTTCTTTTGTGTAAATGCTTGCCCAGAGGATTAGATTATTATTAGTAATTAAGAACTAACATAGTTTTTAACTACACTTACTAACTAAAAATGGACTCCAAGTTATCTGAAATAAATATAGATTTATTTATTTATAATTATTGAATACTCGGTCCCATTTGCCTATCTCGTAATAGACTTAACATAAAGATAATAAAGCTAAATATATAAACAAGACTGTAAACAGAATTTGTGTTAGAATCCTTATCGAAATGTACCTACAACCAAATTGTAATGTTTAATCGGGTAAGTTAACTTTGAAAAGGATTATACGTTTCCACATGTTGGTAACCACACATATTGGGTTTCGAAACTGTCCTTAGCAATTAAATCGAGCCAAACCATCGGCGACACATAGTCGGCCCGAGGCCCCGAAGGGACCACTGCAAACTCAGAACTTCACTTGCGATAACTGATCCCCCGGGATTAGCTCAATACAATAAGCCAATATTTGAGTTGAAAACACCCAACCGCTTCGAATCTGTAGATTCTTAAGAGGCCGTCACTGCAATGGATTGCAAGAATTTAGAAACAAATCTTAAAAGTGTTGTCTTTATAACTGCGTATTGCAATGATGTTGATTTTTTATTTGGACTATATTACATATAATTTTAAACTACCTTTGCTTTTACAAAGGCTTTCTTATTATTCTTATCACAGTAATGCCAATTTCAATGTTGACCAAATTAATAGGGGACTAACATTTAAATTTTCTATTAAAAAAATATCAAAACTCGCTTATAATTGGCGAATATTTAGTGTAGAAAATTGATAAACTTAAAAAAAATCCTAAGGAGATAGATTGCCACTTTAGGGCTCCTTAAATCCTCGAGGATCTGTTGCGATAATTCACTTTAACAGTAAGTTTCAAATGACGAAACATTATGTTTAATTTACAAGTTAAATAACTCATAAATAATGGAAATACACATATTTGAGTGACTTCCGAGAGGGAAGGGTCTCATTTTTGTATTTTTTGTTGCTATGTTACGGAATCGTCATTTATGAACCGATTGTGATAATAATATTATTGTTGCTCTTCGTATTTATACTGTGGTGATTGGAACTCACATTTTCAAAATTGTGACGAAGCAAAATCTACATCTATAGTCTATGTCAAACATAATAATGGCATTCTAAATTCAAATATTTTAAGTTTTCTTATTATAATGTCAAAAAATATGTCGACGTTAATCGAAGTTGCTGTTTTTTACGAAGTAAAATCTACTTATTTGCAAAGTTAATTGTAAAAAGGGCAGGGACTAACAACTATCCTAATTAATCCACCCTTCAGATAAAAACCCACAGTTAAATCGATTCACTCGTTTGGGAGCGATCATGCACAGACACAAAGACAAAGCATTCAAACTTATAACACGCCCCTTTTGTTTCCGGGGGTCAGTTAGGTGGTATACCAGTGGACGCGGGTGTCAGTGGGCGCCTTTATAACATAACATAGCACAGCATGCTTTTGCCTTTCGATATTATTGAAGAGCGACATTTTCTGCAGTGTCCAAAATATCTTGTCAATTCGTACTTATTCAAGACAAGTTTTATCCCGTGACTTCGCCCGCGTGAATCGGTACATAAAATATCCTACCTGCTAAGTCAGGATATAAGATCATCATCGTCTATCAATTTTCATTCAAATTCGTTCAGTAGTGGTGGGAACGAACATCCATCCATTCATCCGTACAAACTTTCATATCTATGATGTTAATAGGACATCGTTGTGGACATTTAAAGGCGTTTCCATGCAATTACATAGATTTGACTTTCCTGTTACATAGTGACAGTAAAATTGTATGACATTATATTTATATAAATCATTTACCTAATGGGGAAGAAAGGTTCTTGGGTGGCGTCCCCGCACGGAAAAACGCATTGTAGGACGACCCCCCACTAGATGGAGTGACGACCTGAAATGCATTGCAGGGTGTCAGTGGATACAGGTGGCTCAGAGCCGTTACTTACGACAGACTATGGGGGAGACCTATGTCCAGCAATCGATGGATAATGGCTGAAAATATAAATGATTAGAAAAATGTTATATATAATTTTGTAAATTATACCAGGACCCATTAGTTTTAGAACTTCTCAAAGTTTTCTCAGCAATATTAAAATTTGTGCAGATAAATAGGAAACACTTTCAATTTGTATGATAGATTCAATTAAACTTCTATATTTATCTTGATTATTATCGTCACGACTTAATATTAATTAGGAATTTGTATTTAAATAACGTTATAGTGAATAACGATATGCTTACATTTATAGCTAATTAGCGGCAAATATTGCTGAGACCTTATATGGAAGAGGTGAGTAAATACCTCTAACATTTAAACCTTTTTGGGACAGCTGCTGATTGGGGAACACTATGTACTAGAGTTAAGGTCGAATTTTGCTCGAATCGCCGTAGTTGATACCTCTTACTTATTCGTACTGTAGTACAGCAATGCTTGCGTTGTTTCGGTATGGTTTTATATTTTATATTAATTGAATGTTATTGTATATATGAGGCGATGATTTTTTTTTTCTTCTAACGGGTTCAGGTCATATTTTATATTTATATCGGCTTTACTCACGTTTGAAATCTTCGGGGTTGCTCGGCTACTTTCGGAGAGTGCTGATCACGACGTAGTCATTATTCTTATCGAGTCCGAAAGTAGTTGGATAATCCCGAAGTGACCTGACTATGAATAATTATGATTAAAAATTTTTTCAAAGACTATTTAGTATCATGCCACTATACCTAACTATACGTAGCAGCTAGTATAAAAACATCATCGTATATATTACTATACATAGTAATTACTGAATTATCTATGTACTATTTAACCTATAAATCTTACGGCAAAGTAGTTGTATATATATGTTTAATGTTTATATTTATTAATGTTATTTTATTCTATTTTGTTCTTTCTAGTATATGTAATTGGTTTGTATTTATTAGTTGTAATTTTGTTTTAATTATTATCATGAATATTATAAATAGTGCCCTCTCTCTCTCCCCTTTTTTTATATATATATTTTTGGTGCCACTGAAAACCAGCTGTATGTTCACCTAGGACATACATTAAAGCTGAGTGGAGCCATTTCAGTGCATTTTTGCATGTAAAAATGATTATTTTATGTTTATTTTTAATTATGGTAAATTAAGTTTAATTATATGTACATTTTATTTGCTCATTTTTTTTTTCTCGTTTGTTGTTTATATTGTATTTTTTACATTGCACTGAATAAAATATTTTTCTTTCTTTCTTTCTTTCTTACTGTATTATTTTTATATCGTTTTTACTGACATTGGTTTTTTGGAGTTCCCCGATTACTTTCGGACAATGTTATACGCGAATCAATCATGATTCATCCTCATGATAACTCCTGTAAGTTCGAAAGTAGTTGGACAACCCCGAAGATACACGAGTATAAATAATTATGGTAAAAAATTCTTTTCAACAGCTATTTCCTTTATACTTAGTGTAATAGTTTAAAAATATCGTATCCGATCCACGTGTGCTAGAGACAACATCTGGCCCGCCAGTTTTGTGTGTAGTGGGCGTACAATAAAGGGCTTTTCAGATGCGTCTCGCGG